AGTGGCTGGGGCTGGAAGGGACCTCACCCCGTTCCACCTTCCCGGATTGCCCCAAGCCGTGCCCAGCCTGGCCTGAGCCCTGCCAGGGACGGGCAGCTCCTCTGCGGGCTGGCAGGGAGGGAGCAGAGGGGAGATGGACATCTGGGAGCTCTGGGGGCTCAGAGGCAGTCCTGCAGGAACGCCGTGCCCACGTTCAGGAGGGCAGGGCTGTGCCCTGCAGCACAAACCCCTGAGCAGAGGAGGCACCCTGGGCAGCTCAGGGGTCGCTCTGGGCACCGGGGGGGCTCAGGATGTTTCTGGGGTGCAGCATCCCTGCCCAGCAGCCTGGCCCTGCCCAGCCACGCCACGAGCTGCTCTGCAGGTGGGAGCACACGGGAAAGAATTCCTGCTGTGTGTTCTGTCCCTGTGGCACAGCAGCTCTGGCTGGGGTGCTGCAGCTCACTGTGGCACTCGTATGGAACATCAAAATGAGATAATAATTAAAACTTTGGAGCTTTCTTTGTAGCAAACCAAATTAGTCAAGTAAAGTAAGCTAAGTAATGTTATTTGGTGTTTATTCACACATGTAAACCCCCGTGCCTTCAGTAAGGCACACAACAAGCACAAAAAGCTGGGTTTGCCAGTGCTGCAGGGCAGAGCCATCCCATTACAGCCGTGAATTCAGCCAGAGCACCAGCCCAGCACACACAGCAGCAGCCAGGGCTGCCAAAAGCCACCCCAGTGACCCCCAGAGCCAGGCAGGGCACCAGGCTCCAGCCCCCGAGGGGGGGCTACACAGAAAAGCTGAGTGCCCACACACAAACCCTGGCCAAACACCACTTCTCCTCAAGAGGAACGTTCATCTGAATTCAGCTCCTCCACCTCACCAGAGGAGCTCAGCTGTGAGTGAGAGCTGAGGAGGGAAGGCTGAAGTGACCAAAACACCTGAGGTTTGCTGTAGAAATTCTCATCCTAATGGTGGTCCCGAAATTACAAGTGAGATTTGGTTTCTGACAGAGAATTACAAAGATCTGAATAAAAATTAGAAATTCTCTGACTAGACGAGAGGCCTGTTCAAGGAAAGGTGCTGCTCACACTGCTCCAAAAGCAGATTCTCCCGAGTGCCTCAGCCTGGCACCTTCCCTGGTGCAGCAACGGGCAGGCAGGAGCTGCAGCCAGCCCAGCCCTCCTCCCTGCTCGGTCCCACCCCAGCAAACTGCTCCCGTGGCAGCTGCAGCTGTGCAGGCATCCCTCGGGAGCTGCAGGCCGGCCGGGCTGCTGGGAGCAGAGCACAAATCACCTCTTGTGTTAAACCAGCTCTCCTGGCCACCCCTGCACCCGGTAACGTGCAACAACCCCATCAAAACGCAATAATGCCACTGCTTTGATAGACACGTACTTTGAAATAAGATAAATTTTAAAAAAACCAAACCCATAAAGCTCAGGCTTCTCTGCGTGTGCCACAGCACCAGAGAGGGAAACTCTTCCCTGCTCAACCAGGGGAGCAGAGACAGGAGGAAATCAGGAAAACAGAGAAAGCACACCACATAGGAAATGTCAAATATGTCAAAACATTCATGAATACCAACATCTCCCTCTGCACCATCCCCAGCTGCAGAGGTTACTCAGGGCTAACGTTTCAGCAAGTGCAGATTATGCAGTGCAGGGGTTTACTTATACATGAAAAATCAGCTACATGGGCATCCAAGGTGCTTTTGCACGCAGCCAGTCCGGGGATTTCTCCCGCCAAAGAAAAGCCGGGAGGGTGAAATCCCATAAAACCCGAATGTCCCAGCTCGGAGCACCCCAGCCGCGAGTTCCTGCGGCTGCTCAGGGTGCGGGGCACACGGACGGGGATGACCAGGCGAGGGAACTGCTGCGGCTGCATTCCCAAAGCAGGAGCTGGCAGCTCCTCGGCAGGAGCAGCACGGCACCTCCCGAGCCACCAGCTGCCAGTCCTGTCAGCCCAGTGCGGTCCGGGGAGCCCCACGCACCCAGGGCATCACCGCCTGGTGCGGAGCCTCCGGGACCGCGCTGGGGCGATTTGGAAATCTCGGCACCTTTGGGACAGCCGTGCCTCGGTGTCACCCCCAGCAGGAGCGGCAGGTGCCCGGCTCTGGGGAGCAGCAGGGACCCTCCAGGGACCCTCCCTGCCCGGGGAGCCCAGCGTGACCTCCCGGCAAAGCAAACACGCTGCCTCTTACACCGCGGAGCAGCGCAGGAGTGACTGCCCAGGAAACACTGCAGCGGCGGGAGCAAAGCGGAAAGTTGGGCTCCAGGCAGCCCAGCGCTCGGTAACGAGCCACAAAACCTGGAATTCCGAGGGAACAAACCAGGGGGGGTCTGGCTGCTCCTCACCGGAGCCCAGCGCAACGAGCAGTAACAAATTCCAGCAGCAGCACACGGCTAAAATAATTAAGATAGCTATTGATCTGGAATATTGCAAGCCCGGAGAAGTGAGACCTTCTCATAAATCCTCCCATTGATACCACCGGTTAAAAACCATTCCTTCCGCTCCTCATTCTGCCTCGAGCTCCCGCTCCGAACGCTTTTCCCAGCGTCTCCACGCAGTGCTCAGCGTTTCCTCCTGGCTTTCCTGCCTCGCCGGAGCCTGCGGCGGGCAGGAAGGCGCAGGGGCTGCGCTCCCCCTCCAGCCCAGCCCAGCCCAGCCCCTGGCAGCGCTGCCCCCGTGCCCACCTGGGTGCCCGTGCCCGGCCGGGCGCTCCGGGCTCGGCTCCTCCGCTCGCTGCCGCCGGGACGGGAGGGCACCCGGGGCCGGGGAAAAGCCCAGCAGGTGTGAGATGGCCGCCCGGGAAGGATAAATTCTGCTTGGCCAGGTGCAGAGGGTTAAAGCTGTTAGAAAAGTTGCGGCAAAGGGCGCTGATTGAAGTGGTGGAAGCAGCTGGTTTCTGGGAGGAATTGGGAGCAGCTGGGGGATGTTTAGAGGGGGATCGAGTTGTTAAATTCTTTCTATAAACAGGCTTTCGTCCTTTTTTTGCATTTTAAACCCCTTCCAGAGCATAGACATTTACACTTCCATATTTATTTACGCATATTTAAAGAATGTCTGTATTCTCTCTATATATTTAGGGCATATCTATGTTCCACGTGCACTGTCGAGGTTAAAGCCACAGCTGCTCCAGCCCCGTGCCCGTGGCGATCCCGAGCTCAAGACCCCGCTCGGGATGGATGGGGCAGCACCCGCCCCTGCCCCAGCCCGCGCCGGCCGCGGCACCGGCTTTTATCCCTCCTTGCAACTCTTTATTCTGGAATTTCTCGCCTGACCGAGCCGCGAAGCCCCTTCCCGGCACACCGGGTATGAGGGGCTCGCCCGCGCCGGGGGCGGCAGAGCCGCGGATCGCAGATGCCCGGCACCCCGGCACGGGGATGCGGCACCGGGATGGGGCACAGCACCGGGATGGGGCACAGCACCGGACAGGGATGCGGCTCCGGGATGCGGCTCCGGGAGGGGGATGCGGTACAGGGACGGGGGCACAGCACCGGACAGGGATCCGGGTCTGGGACGGGGATGAGGCTCCGGGATGCTGCCCCTCGCCCGTGTCCGTGGGGTTTTGGGCACCGCGGGACGCGTGGTACAGAGGAGCAAAACCGATCCCGGCCCTGTCTCCCGAGGCGAGAGGCTGAAGTTCCGCGCCCCCGGACGAACCAGCGGCGTTTGGGTTCCTCCTCCTCCCTCCCCACGCGCGGGACCCCCGTGAGCGCGTCCCGGTCCCGGTCCCGCGGTGCCCCGGGCGCGGTGTCGGTATCCCCGAGCGCGGTGCCGCTCCCCGGGGCTCCGAGAGCCGCCCCCGACCCAAGGCTGGGCAGGAGCCCGGCGGGGCTTTGGGAATTGAATTCCGCCCTGAAAGGAGTTTTCCTGAGGAATCGGCCCCCCCGAGGAAGGGACGCGCCTGAGCAAACGCGGGCGCGGAGCGGGACAGAGGGATGGGTGGCGCAGGACCGAGCGTGCTAAATCCCGGGGCAGGACCAACCTCCGAGCCGCGGCTCTTCCTCCTCTTCCTCGCCGGAGCCGGCGGCAGCGAACGGGAGCGGCCGCGGCCGTCGCCGCTGCGGGGTCGCCGCACGGACAGAGGCTTTTGTCCCCTGGGTGCGGCGGGGGCTGGCCGAGGAGCTTCGCACTTCGGCAGAAAGGAGACGAAATTCGATTCGTTTACATGTTTTATTGTTGTAAACATTAAAATTGTCTTTCTCAAAGAAAGAGTTCTCGGGAGAAAAAATAATAATAATAATAATAATTATAATAATAATAATAATCCGCGTTTCTAACTGTCGTACACCATATTAAAAAAAGGCAGCGACTTTCCCGTGTGCCAAACCGGGGTATACAAAGAAAAATACTACAGAATATGGCAATATTAAAAATATTACTCGAACATAAAATAATATATTAACCGACAATTTTTAGACATAAAAAAACAAATGGAACAAAACAAACCAAGAATTCAAAGTGCTCAGTAATTTCCAGGGAGTTATGTATAGTATAAGCACTCTGGAAACAGTCAAAAGCTGCTGCATGCAAGATCTGTTTAGCTTTAGACAACAAAATAATCAAGATATAAACTTCTTCTTTAATCAACATCAACAGTACATACAACACTTACAAACAAGGGGTGTCGGGCGGTGTTTACAAACACTATGTGTCCCTTTGGGGGGGTTCCGGGGGTAACACTTGTGCCCACCTATTTTACAATTGAGAAAATGTTTGAAGCTTAGATAACTACCAGTCTTTATAAAAGCTACCAGACTACATAGTGTCTGAAATACTATTTATAGAATATAGACATTACTGAAATAGCAAGTGCCTATAACATTGTCACCCTGGAATCGTCATGCTTCCCTGGTATGGACAGATTGGGTTTTCTTTTTCTTTTTTAAATTCTCCTCTTTTTAATTTTTTTTTCCCAAACACATCTAGCTTTTATTTTTGAATAATTTATTTTTTTAGAATTATTTTCCATGTTTCATCATAAATAGGCACAGAAGAATTTTTTTTTTTTTAGAAAGCCAAACATCTGATAAATTTACAAGCCTTCGCCTTCATTAATGCCACGCCACCCACGCCACGTTTGGGGTTTGGGTATGTTACAGCTTTCTTTTGCTGCAGAAAACTTTAGTCTTTAGGAGGGTGAGGCTCGTGGGCTGCCTCAACGCTCGGTCTGTCACCGCTTGCCTTTCGCACCAAAGTCCTGAATAATAAACTCATTTAGAAGCCGATAATAAAAAGTTTATACCATGGTATTTGTGTGGTCCGTGAGCTGCGTCCACGGTGCCCCAGAGCCAAAATGCCCATCGCGTTCTGCCTGCAGGAGTGGCAGCTCTGGCTGGGTGGGAGCTGGCACCCAGGGGTGCTGCTCTGGGCCCAGCCCCGCTCCCCTTCAGGCAGCTGGAGCTTCTCCTCGGGTCAGCGGAAGCGTGCGGGAAGAGTCTTAGAAAGGTAAAGTGTCCAGAAAGAGTTTGTCAATTATTGCTGGCGGTGGCACCAAATCCTCCAGTTTCAGGTAGAAAATGCGCTGCAGCCCCTGCGTGCAAAGCGTGCGGAGTTCGGGGAGCTTCCCCAAGAGTTTGGACAAATAGTTGGGGCGATTCAGCCCCCCGTTGTTGAAAGTCACGTGGTCCTTGAGACAATTTACAATCTTGTTCTGAAGCTCTTCCACCCTCTTGGGTTCCTTGAGCCCGTGCCTCTCTGCAAAGAGAAGGGCGCGGGACGTTACGGGCCTGGCGCCGAGGAGGGCGGGCGGGGAGCACGAGGGGGGACACTGACCTGTCACCATGGCCAGGGCAGCGATGCAGGAGAAGGCGGAGATGTCGATGTTCATGTTCTGCAGGTTGGAGGAAAACTCCACGATGGAATCGATCCACTCGCCGAAGCCACGGATGCACTGCAACCGGTGCAGGACCACGCCGTTGCAGAAGATCAGCTTCCCCTCCACGGGGTTGGACCTGGAAGGAAGGGGACAACCCCAGAATGAACTGATGGATGGATGAGACAGGGAGGAAAATTAGACAGAAAGAGCAAACAGAGGAAAGGAAAAGACAAAAGATAAGAGAAGGACAAAATATAAGAGTAAAGAAAGAGAGAATGAGCCAAAGGAAGAAAGACAGGGACAGAAAGATAAAATAGAGAAGAGATTGCAATGAAAGAGAAAAAAGACCAAGAGAGAACAGGAAAGAAATAAAAAAAATAAGAAAGGAGATGATGGGGGAGAAAATCTAAACAACTAATTACTCGAGGAGCAATAAATGAAGGATTTAAGAGGCACCTAATTACCGAGGAGTTAATAAAATGCAGAGCAGTGGACCTTGAAAGGCTCTGGTTCCCCGCCCGGCCCCGCTCACCTGTACGCCAGCCGCAGCACGAACAGCTCCAGGAAGGCGGACTCGAAGAGCAGGTCCTGGTCCGTTTTGGGGAGGTCGGTGAAGCCGGGGATCTTCTCCGCCCACCCTCGGATGATCTCCATGGAGCCCGTGAGGAGATCGTAGAACTGCTGGATGTGCTGGGTGTCGTCGCCGCTCAGCTGGTAGTCGGGGTTAGCCTGGAACTGGAAATTCATTTTAAAAAGCACTTAATGAGGTTCTCTAAAGTCTATAACCCGTGAAATTGCTCACCCCGTCCCTGGCCGGGGAGCGGGCTGGGATAACAATTAAAGCTCTCTCTGACCGGCGAGGAAATTAGATGTTCCGGGGCAATTAATTCGATTAGGAACGGCGCTCCGAGGCCGCCGCTCTCCGTGCGCGGGGGGCGCGATCCCGGCGGGGCCGGGCCGGGCAGGGCCGGGCCGAGCCGAGCCGAGCGGGCTGGGATAACAATTAAAGCTCTCTCTGACCGGCGAGGAAATTAGATGTTCCGGGGCAATTAATTCGATTAGGAACGGCGCTCCGAGGCCGCCGCTCTCCGTGCGCGGGGGGCGCGATCCCGGCGGGGCCGGGCCGGGCCCCGGGCGGCCTCGCCCGTCCCCCCTCCCCGGCGGCGGCGGCGGGGCCCCTCCGCGAGCTCGGTGCCGCTTACCCGGGAATAGTCCAGGCTGGTCATAGCCGGGTTGGAGTCGACATGGGCTCTCACCAGCGCACTGATCAGACTCACCGGGGGAGAGGGGGGAGAAGGCTCCTGGGGGCTCTTCGGTTTGGACGGCAAGCGGCCCCGCCGGCCTTTTAGGCTGTCTGTGCGCACCACTGCAAGAGACGGGGGTCAGCCCGGCACGGGGACACACGGACAGGGGACACACGGACACACGGGGACACACGGACACTCACCCTCCTTGACCATGCCGACGGCCAGGCACTTCTGGAAGCGGCAGTACTGGCAGCGGTTGCGGCGGCGCTTGTCCACCGGGCAGTTCTTGTTGGCCAGGCACACGTACTTGGCGTTCTTCTGCACCGTGCGCTGCGGGCCGGCCGGGCGGCAGCGGCTCAGCGCCCGCCCCGCCAGCTCCCTCCGCCGCCTCCCCCCGCTTTGCTTTGCCTTCCCCCCCGCTTTATTTTCCTTTCCGTTTTTCCGCTTTGTTTCCTTCCCTTTCCCCTTGGTTTTCTGTTCCCGCTTTCATTTTATTCCCCTTTATTTTCTTTTCCTTTTTTTTATCTCTACTTCTCTTTTTTTCTTTATATCCCTTCCCCTTTTCCCCTTTTATTATCTTCTCCCTTTTAAATTTTTCCTATTATTTCCTTTTCTTCTTCTGCCTTTTAACATTTATTTTCCTTTTCCTTTATTTCCTTTCCCTCTATATTTTTATTTCCTTTTCCCTCTTTATTTTTATTTCCTTTCCCTCTTTATTTAGTTTCCCTTTTATTTCCTTTTCCTTCCCCCCCCCCCTTCCTTTTTTTTTTTCTTTTTTTTTTTTTTTTCCCCAGGGCATTTAACAGGAGAAAATTGACAGCGTTAACATCCAAGCTAACCCCGCAGCTCCTGGCCGTGTTTTATATGCCAAGAGGAGGGAAAGAGACGCTCGGTAAATACAAATCCGTGGGCATTCATATTATTTACATCCCTTGGAGACCTCCTCTATTTAAAATGATAAGATTATTCAATCAGGATGGCGAAATAAAGAGATCACTTAATTTTTCCGCGGGGAATTCCGTTCCACACGGTTAGCCCAGGCGCGGCTCTCTGTCCTAACCCATTTCCATCCGCGGGCTGCCCGGCCGCCCCCCGCCCGGCGCGGCGCGGCCCCGCTCACCTTGAAGAAGCCCTTGCAGCCCTCGCAGGTGCGCACGCCGTAGTGCTGGCAGGCCGCGTTGTCGCCGCACACGGCGCACAGCCCCTCGTTGGACGGCGAGCCCCGGGACGGCGGCGAGGGCACCTGGCTGTCCAGCAGCTGCGGCGGGTGGCCCAGCGGCAGCCCGGGGAAGGCCATGGGGGGCTGCTTGCGCAGCGAGCCCGGCACGGCGAAGGGCTGCCCGTCCCCGCCGTGGTGCGGCCCCGCGGGCTCGGCGCCCATGGGGACGTGCAGCGGGCCCTCGAAGCGCATCTGGCAGCTGGACACGGGCGTGCCCGGCGGCGACTGCTTGAAGGAGAACAGGGACAGGCGGGACACGGGCGTTTTGCGCTGCTCCAGCATGTGCGTGGTGGCCACGTAGTTGGGGTGGAAGTTGTGCAGGGAGCCGGGCTCGTCCCACACGGGGCCGTGCTGCACCTGGAAGCCGGGCGTGGAGGGCGTCGGGGGCGACGAGGGCTTGTAGTAGACGGAGCCCGAGTGGGACATCATCTCCTCGGACTGCGGGGGCAGGTGGCCGTGCTGCTGGTAGCCGTGCATCTGAATGTCTTCCACCTTAATGGAGGACTGCTGTCCGGACAGGGGCATTTGGTACAAGCAGGGGGGCTTCACGTCGTAGCTCGTGTTGTAGTTGTCCATAAAGGTGCTGAAGCTGGGCAGAGAAGTGGTGGCGGTGATCTCGGTGTTGGTGAGGTCCATGCTAAACTTGACAAACTCCGGAGTCAGGAAGTCGGAGCTGTACTCTCCCGAGGAGTGGTAGCTGTAGCTCTGCGAGGCCGGGCTGGCTCCTTGCGGCGAGGACCCATACTGAGCCTGAACACAGGGCATGGCTGCAAACGAAACAGCGGCAGGTAGACTCGGCCCGCGCCCGCCGCCGAGCGCCGGGAGCCCCCCGCCCGCCGGGGCCGCGGCACGGAGCACCAACCTGCAGCCGGGGGAGCGGCGCGCTCGGGGCAGCCGAGGGCGGACAGCGTCGGAGCGCGGCGGGCAGCGAGCAGTCCGCGGGTTCAGAGCGCGGCGGCGGCTCCAGCCTGCCCGGAGCGACGGCTGCGGGAGACACGGGGCGGCCGTGAGCGCACGGACACACGGACCGACACACGGACCCGCCGGTGAGCGCACGGACACACGGACCGACACACGGACCCGCCGATCGGGCAGCAGGGGCGTGGGACTGACACACAAACCCGCTGGTGCAGGGACAGACAGACGGACCCGGGGCGGCAACAGGACCCGCCGGTCACGCAGCCCCGGCGGGGACCTGACACACGGACGCGCCGGTGGAGGGACAGACACACGGAGCCCGCGGGCTGCGGGAGCCGCGGCGGGGCAGGGCTCCCCCAGGCTCTGGGCTGGCTGGGGCTGCTCGCTCGGTGCGCGGGCGGCAGGCTCCCGCGGGCGGGCTGGCACCGGCTCCCGGCTCCGCTCTCCTCGCCGCCGGGAAGGCGCGGCGCGTCCCTCGGGAGAGCGGGCGGGCTGGGGCGCGGCGCGGGTGACAGCTGCGCGGGTGACACGCGCGGGTGACACGCGCGGGGCGCGGGTGCGGGACCCGAGCGGGACAGGGAACGGGACAGGGAACGGGAACGGGACAGGGACACAACAGGGAACGGGAACGGGGGAACGGGAATGGGAATGGGAACGGGAATGGGAATGGGACAGGGACAGGGAATGGGAACGGGACAGGGAACGGGGAATGGGAATGGGAATGGGAACGGGACAGGGAACGGGAATGGGACAGGGCCGGGAATGGGACAGAGCCAGGCCGAGGCCACAAAAAGAGCACAATACACCCCTGCTTCCACTGCCCACCTAAAACTTAGTCTATTTTATTAGTATTTTATTTTATTATTAATTTTATTTTAATTTTAATTATTATCTTTCTTTTATATGTTGTACTGATTTTATTTTCTTTTTCTTTTGGATTTATTTATTGTAGTATTTTTCACTTTAATTGTTTCTGTTTATTCTTTTTATTTCTCATATTATTATTATTTTTTCTTTCATTTTTAAAATTTCAATTTATTTCATTGCTTAATTTAATTAATTATTAATTTATTATTATTTATTTTTTATTTTATTTAGCTTTTTTTGTTTTATTTATTTTATTAGACTTTTTTAAAATTCTCATTCATTTAAACGGCCGATGTTTATTTATTGAAATGCACACAGGTTTTTTTAATTATTATTTTATTTGATTTCGCCTGTCCCAGAGCCCCCCATTTCCCACCTCCCGCAGTCCCAGCACAGGAGGGTGTGTCTGGGCAGGGCCGGGGCAGGGCAGGGGCAGGGGCTGTGTTTCTGGAGCCGCTCCGCATCCCGGCTGTGGGGATTTGTCCCAGCTGCAGCCGCCCCCAGCACCGGCCCAGGAGGGTGGCTCCTGGCCCTGCACCCCGTGTTCCACCCTGGAGAAGGAACAGGATGGCATCGGGGTGAAGGGAGCCCAGTCCCCCTCAGCCCGGGGCCAGAACCAGCTCCTGGCCCGGGATAAATCCCCCAGTCCAGCCAAGGGTAAATCCCCTGGCCCATCCCGGGATAAATCTCATAGCCCAGCCTGGGATAAATCCCCATACCCTGGGATAAATCCCCTGGCCCAGCCGGGATAAATCCCCATAGCCCAGCCAGAATAAAACCCCCAGCCCAGCCCGGGATAAATCCCCCAGCCCAGTGCAGGGTAAATTCCCCAGCCCAGCCGGGATAAATCCCCATAGCCCAGCCAAGGGTAGATCCCCCTAGCCCAGTGCAGGGTAAAACCCCCAACCCAGCCCAGGATACCAAGATTTCCTGGGAAACCAAGGAAATGGCTCCTTCCCAACCCGCTCCTCCCGCTGGAGTCACCCCACAAACACCAGAGAAACCCAAAGCTGCTCCCACCCCAGAACCCCACACTGACCCTACAGAGCTGCTGGGGGCTGGGCCAGGGGTGTGGGAGGGGAGCGAGCCCCAGGGCTGTGACACCCCAGGGCTGTGACACCCCAGGGCTGTGACACCCCAGGCTGGCCAGAGTGGCATTTCTGGGGGCACTAAAGGGACACCCCAGGGCTGTGCCACCCCAGGCTGCCCAGAGTGGCATTTCTGGGTTCTCCCCACGCAGTTCCCAGCAGGAGCTGGCCAGCTCCCCTCAGCTGCAGCCCCAGGAGCCGTCCCTGCCCCACCCCAGCAGCTCGTCCAGCCCCAGCTCCACTCCAGCCCAACTTCCAGCCACGGCCCTTACGGGGCTGAGTGATACACCTAATTACCATATCCTTAGAATAGATGTAATATAAATTTCATTACTCACTTAAAAGTTCTAAAGTTAACAGCATAAACTTGAAGTTGAGTAATTAAGTAATCCTTATATAGACACTTATTAAAGTATTTATACATATTATCTTAAATCTACATCTATCATTTTGCCAATTAAAATTAGGACTTTAATTGCAATTAAGTAATTTAATTGCCAATTGAACAGCAAAATTGCTAAGTGACTAATTTTAATGCCTATTTTAATTACCAATCATGACTGGGGAGGGAGCTAATCAAGCAGTATCAGAGTAATGATGTGAAAAAAAGCGGAGAACAAACATTCCAGACTCCATGCTTTTTAAGAAGAACTCCAAATTGAATAAGTGCGAACACAATTGCAGGCGTGTGGGGAAAGGCTGGCTTTGGGAGCACAAAGAACACGTTCAGTTACAGACAGCGCCGCTCTGCTCTCCCCCAGGTGCCGTTGTTGGGGGCTCTGTGTCTGCTCCCTGCCAGCTGGGGATGGCCCTCGCTCCTGGAGGGGCTCCTGGGGGACAGCAGCACCTGCAGCCACAGCTCTGGGGAGCCCCAGACTCCAGGAGAGGGGCACGGGACCGGCCAGAGCGGGGCACCAGCCCTTCTGGGCTGCCCAGGAGGGAGCAGCATCCCTGCCCAGGCTGGGGCAGCATCCCTGCCCAGGAGGGAGCAGCATCCCTGCCCAGGCTGGAGCAGCATCCCTGCCCAGGCTGGAGCAGCATCCCTGCCCAGGCTGGGGCAGTATCCCTGCCCAGGATGGAGCACCATCCCTGCCCAGGCTGGAGCAGCATCCCTGCCCAGGCGGGAGCAGCATCCCTGCCCAGGCAGGAGCAGCACCCCTGCCCAGGCTCCCTGAAGTGCAAGCCCCTCTCCCTGGCAGGCCCGGGTGCCATGGTGAGGTTTCCAGCGTGTTCCCCCAGCCCAGCTGGTGGCACGGGCCGTGTTCTGCAGCCCACCGTGAGTGGAAGCGTGCTGGTGCTGCCATTTCCCATAAAAACCCCAAAGCCAGGCCAGCACAGCAAACACCCCAGGAAGGGAAGCCAGCCCTTGGCTGGGATGGGGAAGCCCAGGAGCCACGAGCGGTGCTGGGGCTGCTCCTCTCCAGCAGGAGGGGTGACACGGTCAGCACCCCACGGGGGCTCTGCGGCACTGGGAGCACTGGGGGCACTGGGGGCACTGGGGCACTGCCCTGCAGCACTGGGAGTACTGGGAGCACTGGGGAGCACTGGGGGCACTGGGGGCACTGGAGGGCCCTGGCAGCACTGGGAGACCCTGGCAGCACTTGGAGGGCACTGGGAGCACTGGGGGACACTGGGAGCTCTGGGGGGACCCTGGCAGCACTGGGAGCACTGGGGGAGTCCTGGCAGCACTGGAGGGGCACTGGGAGCTCTGGCAGCACTGGGAGCACTGGGGGGCCCTGGCAGCGTGGTGGGCAGTGCCGAGGGCAGCAGCCAGCACGGCCAGGCAGGGTCAGTGCTGTGCCCTGGCCAGCAGCTCCCTCAAACACCCTCCTGGCAGGGCTCGGTGGGCACGGCAGGGCTGAGCTCGTGGGGCATCTTCAAGAGGCTCCTACAGCACCTGTGCAGCTCCTGCAGCACCCGTGCAGCTCCTGCAGCACCCGTGCAGCTCCTGCATCCAGCCCTTCCCTACAGGGACACACTCCCACTGCTCACAGCCCCTGTCCAACCTGCTCGTTTCAGCACACAGTTTTGGGAGGGAAGGGATTTGTTGCCTCTTCAACAGACTGAAGTTTCAGACCAGCAGGGAGGTGCTGATACAGAGGACACGTTGTGTGTCAGGGGCTGGGTCCCCTGCCTGGGCCCGGGGGTGCAGGGGGCAGTGCCAGCCCCCCACAGCCACCAGCTGTCCCCACAGGGACACACGCTGCACAGGGACAGTGGCACTGGTGCCATGGCCGAGACCCGAGAGAGCAGTGTCACTCCAGAGGGAAGGAGGGCTGGAGCCTTCTGTCCAATGTCACACAAGGTGTGAAGTCCCCCGAGGAGAAGGAGGCACCAGCCTGGAGCTGGTGTGCACCCCTGGGCAGAGCTGGGGGGCTGAGCACTGGTGTCCCAGGGCTGCAGCCCCAGCCCCGGCTGAGCACGGGTGTCCCGGGGCTGCAGCAGCAGCTCCAGCCTGGGCACTCGGTCCCAGAGCACACAGCGTGTTCCCCCAGACCACCAGGGCTGCCAGGGCACACTGGCACACGCGAGCAGCTCTGGCACAGCGAGGCTGTGTGTCCGTGGCAGGCTGGAGGCCCAGTGAAGCCAGATGTCCTGCTGTGAAGTCAGAGCGTGGGGGTCTCAGTGCCAGGCTTGGATGTGAGCAGGCCATCTCACAAGCACGCCCTTACTCCCCTCAGATTTCCCAGAAACTTCAAATGGAGCGTTATTGTCCCTTCCTTCCCGCTCCGGGTCCGCTCCTGAAGCTCAGCCGTGCAGGTAGTGCCAGCTACACGAGGCGTTTATTGCAGCACGAGGCGTTTATTGCAGCACGAGGTATTTATTGCAGCAATGCCCACTTCCACCGAGCCCCTGTCAGCCCGCGGTGGTCCCACGGAGCCGCGCTGTCCCGTGTCCCTGCCGGGCCGGGGCCGCGCACGCAGAGATGCTCTCGGTGTTTTTGTGCGGCTCCGCTGCCGCGTCCCTCGTCCCGCTGCCGCCGCTGCCGCTGCCGGGCCGGCTGTGATTGATCTCGGCGAGGTGAAAGGCTAAACGGCCCATATGGCGCTCGCCGCAGCCCATCTGCTCCTGCCGCCAGCAACATCTCAACATCTGCCCGCCCGCAACCAGCTGTGCGGGCACCGCGGGCGGAGCCGCGCCGCCCCGCGCCCGCCTGCCTGCGGGGCCGAGTCCCGGGACCCTCTGTCCTATCCCGTCCCCGTCCCCAC